CAGGGTCTGTGATTTGATGACCAGTGGAGTGGCCTCCTTTTCTTTGATGCTCCACCAAGATCGGGGTCTCAGAAAGGTCCTGGATGTTGGGTGGGGGTGGACAGAGAGACCTTGGAGGGCTCAGGGCTCTCTACCACCTCAGTGGTTTCTTCCACAGGCCAGCACCACAGCGATGCCTTTGCCCAGGTGAACCCCCTGAGGAAGGTGCCAGCCTTAAAGGATGGGGAGTTCACCTTGGCTGAGAGGTAATGGGTCCCTGGACTTTTGCATGGCTTTGTGGGGCCAGTTAACTATCTGTGTATCCACTGTTGATGGCTTGTTTCGTGGCTTGTGTGCCCTGAGCACCTGTGCCAGACCCAGGGTGGAAAGTGGCTTGAAGTGGGCAGAGGGGCCCAGGGCGGGGAGGGGTGCCGGGTCTTGCTTCTGGTGTGTTCATGCTTTGGATATGTTGGGGAATGGTACTGACGTTGCTTTCATCCTTCATGATCCATACTGGGCACCCATTTTTGTGGAAGCTTTCCCTGAGCATACCCTCCCCACTTCTGAAGTCCCATGACATTTTGTTTCTCACTTGGTTCCCTTAATTCAGATGATGGGATGGCCCAATGTAGAGTTGTGTGACCCTGGGCAGTCACCTAAACTCTCTGAGCCTCACATTCCTACTCAGCACCATGGAGGTCATGAAATACTCCACCCACAGGAGTTGGGGAAAGACATACTAGGAGCAGAGGCCTGCCCCACCCAGGGCCTGGCCCCTGTGGAGCACCTGAAAAGTGACTGGGACATCTCCCTTACTTCTGCCATGCTTCCCAGTGTGGCCATCCTGCTGTATCTGAGCCGCAAGTACAAGGCCCCCGACCACTGGTACCCAGAGGACCTGCAGGCCCGTGCCCGCGTGGATGAATACTTGTCATGGCAGCACACAGCCCTGCGGAGTAGCTGTACCCGGGCCATGTGGCAGAAGGTGAGCCCCAGGGGACAGGGACCCCTCCCAGGATGGTAAGTGAAAACAAAGTCAAATTAGGAAGAAATGAGGAGACATTTCAATAAATGTTAACATAGTTTCTGGGTCTGCAAGGATTTCTAAGCCTAAGAACAAAGGAAGACTTAAAGAAGCGCCTAATCGACTTTACCCATACAATGAAATTTTGTCTAAGGATAAAAAGGATTACATTTAAAACAAGCAAAAACCTGGGAAAGATCTTGGCAAAGATATGTTAGAAAGAAATAGCATTCTTTTTTTAAAAGATTTTATTGGGGCATTGTGGGAGGGGAACAGTGTCGGGGAATTGGGGAAGGGGAACAGCCAAGTTGTCCTTCACTCTTAGTTGTGGAGGGCACAGCAAGCTCAGCTCCAAGTCCAGTTGCGCTGCTCAGCTCAAGGTGCTGTGTTCAATTAGTTGCGCATGGGCGTAGCCACCATCCCATGTGGGAGTCGAACCGGCAGCCTTGTTATTAAGAGTGTGTGTTCTATCCCCTGAGCCACCTGGGTGGCAGCTCAGCTCAGGGTGCTGAGTTCAGTCTTTAGTTGCGTGTGGGCATAGCCCACCATCTCGAACAGGCCACCTTGTTGTTAGGAGCATGTGTTCTTACCAGCTGAGCCATCCTGCTACCTGTTGGCAGCTCAGTGGCAGCTCAGCTCGGGTGCAGCTCACAGGCCCATGTGGGAATTGAACAAGCGACTCTGTTGGTCAGAGTTTGCACTCTTGAGCAAGCTTTTAACCAACTGAGCCACTCGGCCAGCCCCAAGAAATATCATTCATAATATTTACGATGCTCTTTGAAGCCCATCAGACAAAGACACAGGAGGAAGTTGGGAAAGGACACCAGCAGGGATTTAACGGAAGGACAGAGAGAAATGGCCAATAAATGGATGAAAACCCATTTAACCTTAGTAAAACTCAAGTAAATGCACATTAAAACTGCATGCACATACCATTTTTATTTGTCAAATGTGCAGGTATTTTTGAAATGTGTACTCTGAATAATTATTTGTAGAGTGCTGGTACACAGTAGGTGCCCTGTGTATGTGAGAAAGCATGAGAAGGCATGCTCACACTGCTGCAGGTAGGGTACCACTGTTCTGAAGGGCCATTTGGCAAAAAGTAGGTTTCCATTGCCTTAAAAGTGTCTTCCTTGAGCCTCTAGGGTCTGGGAGAGGAACCCCCTCAAGTTGGTGGGGACAGGAGCCTGTTGCATTTGAGGTCAGAATGGAGAGAAGTTGAGGAGAGTAAGTGTAGACTTTTGCTCTTCAAAGTATGATCCATGGACTAGGAACGACAGCATCACCTGGAAGCTCGTTGGAAATGCAGAATCTCAGGCTCTCACCCAAGCACACTGATAAAGAATGTGCACTTGAGGGCCGGCCGAGTGGCGCATTGGTTAAGAGCTGGCTTGGGACGCCAGAGGGCCCCGGTTCGGATCCCACATTTGAGGGCCAGTGACAC